ATATAATAAGATACATTTAAAATAAATGTTCATCTAACATTTTTATTTATGTACCTAAAAAATATCACTTAAAATAAAAAAGACACTCATTTTTATAAAAAACATTATGTAATGTAAATTGTTCACATTAAAATTTTATTTTTATTTCATATTAATTTACTATATTGCTAGGTCTAAAGCAATTACTTTTATAATCAGACTAAATTTACACTTTTATAAACTAAATAGGTAGGTACCAATTAATTATTATTATTATTTATTAAATATGGTTACACTTAGTAAGTTACAATGTTACATACATTAGTATTGTGACTGTTAAACACCTACTAGAGAATTAATTATATAGTGTAATTTCATTAATCTAAATGTTTACTTAACATCTAATATGATTAAATATTTGAATACTAGTATATATTATACATTAATTATAACTATATTCATTCTATAGAGTATAAAAATGCATATACAATTATATTGTTTGAAGAAGATTGATTTGTAAAAAAAAAAATTCTTTGTGTATTTACTATGTATGTTATTTAGTCAAATTTGGTACACAAACATTACCATAAATCTTACTAACAATCAATTTATAACACTTATTTAGCCAATAATGAACTACACTATACAAGTCTGTATGCATTAAATTCATTATAACAAATATGTTCAATAGATCTATAATTATTCAATTGTATATTAAATTACTACCTAACTTCTATTTATAAAAATAAACAATTAACTATACCTAAAATAACAAGAACATAATATAATAATTGATAAATATTTAAAGTGAATAAATAATATAATTTCATCAAGTTTTATTATATAGGTAGCTACTTTTAAAACAAAATATCACATAAGGCTTAAAATTCTTACTTATATAATTGAAATCCTTATAATATTCAAACGCATTACAAATGTATGGTTACAACAACATTATATAAGAGTAAAAGTGAATTTTCATAAATTATCGAAACATTTAATATAATTTATTGTTTTTGAAAAAGTATATATTATTATGTTCTATATAACCTAAGTAAAAAATAAATATAAATAATATTTGATAGCTTTATTTTTAAATAGTAAAAATGTTATAAAATTTAATTCCTGCCATACAGTAATGGTTAAATCATACCAAATAAGGTAAACACTTTTTCTCAAATGTCTCTAACTAGAAATATTGTTTTTTTTCTTGTTCATCCATTGAGCTTGATATGGATTTCTTAGACGTAAGTAATTTTGGGTTTAGCTTTATTGCATGTTATTAGGTCTTGATATATTTTAAAGCTGTTAGAAAACATATAGTTTAAACAATTAAAAAATGCTTATATTTTGCTATTAAACATCAAAAATATTTTGTGTACCAAATTTGAATTGAACACAGTTTAATTCATTGTTTTTTAGTTCGTACATATTGTCATATTATATAATAATTGTTTTACTTATTTTATTTCAGTGAAATAGAAGGCATTTAAACTGCTTTATTTAGTTTTAATTAAATGTTTATTAGCATATAGATTTGATACATTAGTGTTTGAAGTAGACATAGATTTTCTTTTTTTATTTGTCCTTTAGAGTTTCTCTTTTCAACAGCAAGACGGTGCTAGTGCATCCGGCACGGATTCTCTGACAAAGGCTCTAATCAGCGACGAAGCTCTAAATAGTCAGTCCCAAGTCACTCGGGGCCGTCTTGGGTATGTAGTAAATTTCATTTTTTTTTTTTCATAATCAAAAACACAATTTTACTAATGTCTAATTACTTATGGGATAAAAGTAAGTTTAATGTTTAAGGTTTAACAAACAAATACTTTATACATTTTTCCAAATAAAATGTCAATAAACTTTGAAGGTCAGAGCTATATTCATCATTGTCATTATTTTATCAAAAGTATCATGTCCAAATTGAACATTTAATTTGTTAGATTAGGTTAAGAACTGCCAGTAAGCTTAATAAACATAAAGAAATACCAAATTATTTTAAATTAAAAAAACAGATTGAAGCTTTTAGGTTGAGTTTTTTTTTGGATGCCTTGTGTTGTTAACAATCAATGTTGCAATGTGTATATTATGTTTGTGCCTACCTGGAAATTTCTATTTGTGAAATCCAAATAAATGCATATGCTATGGTCAAGTATTCAATAATTATTATCATTTAGTTCATCTACTATTGTCTATTTAAATTTACATAATATACATTTACAGAAATAATCCGAAACAATGTATAATTTTTTTCTTTACAAGCCAAAGCAATTAATACTTTTAGCTAAAACTAAAGTATTAGAAATAAGAAATATGCTCATAAGAATATTATACATATTGTTTTAAGGGGCAACATATAATTTATACATGCAACTAACAATAAAATCAAGCTGATGTCACTTGTATATTCAGTTGTATATACTTCACCTTATACAATGCAGTATGTACAAAACACAAGGTAATGCACATGTACATTCCACTGTATTTGTCTATGAGTTGTTTTCCTAAGTATTTTTCTCTCAAATCTTTTAAACATTTCTTATCACCTTTTTGTGTGCTTCATGTGGCACATGTTAGGCAGGAACTGGGTATCACCTAACTAATATAAAGTTGTTGATTTGTTCTTTTTGAAACAATATGTTAAGGAATAATATCTTGTGATAAATTTATAAATGCATTTAAATTATATTTATAAATTGATTTAATAAATTAAAAACTAAATAATCAAGCTGAGAATATAGTATGGTTAAAACTATTATTTTACTAAATAACACAATAAGTAAATATGATGAAGAACGAATAAATAACATAAATATCAGTAAAACTTGACAAAATAATAGAATAAAATTATCGTTACTTAGAAATTATTTACTATTTTATATAGTAATACAATATTTATAATTATACCTCTTTAATTATTGGTATATTTTGTAATATAATAATATTTATTTAAATAAAGACAATTTTAAAATAATAAGTGTTAACTAAATTATATTATACATTTTAAGTTAAGATGATGTCATTCTTGTGTCTTGCATATTATGTTGTATATATCTTACTAATATACCAAATTTCTTAATAGCAAATTTTATATTCAAAAGAATCCAATAATATTGTAGGATTTGATTACCAAATAGATATGTATTTTTTTGTATTCTAAAACATTAAATACTACATCTCATTTATACATAAGCTAATCTGCTAATGTTCTTTTATATGCTATTAACAGTTATTAATATACCTACATTTCCCAAAAATGACTAACTTTTTTTTCAATAAAGAAATCTTTTATGGACTGAAATAATGAACAATAAACATCTATTCTGAAATCATTTAAATATGTACATTTATTGTTATTATTATTTTTACATTAGGTTTGTTGCCGGAGTCGTGCCCCGAGAACGAGTACCTGGTTTTGAGCGTATGTTATGGCGTATCAGCCGAGGAAATGTGTTTTTACGGAGGGCAGAACTTGAAGACTCGCTTGAAGACCCTTCTACTGTAAGGATTTGACCTAATCTGAACATTTTCAGTTAATAAATGTGTAAATCATCTTATATTATAAAACACTCCGATTAATTACAAGTTACATTTAATAATTATTTCTGTTATTAAGAAAATACCATACCTGCATGCATTGGCTCTGTCTTAAAAAAAACATAACAGCAAATTGTACGTTCTGAATAATTAGTTTTTACATTTTAAAATACTCATAACTCACTTTAAAATTAAAATACATAAAAAACCTGTCATTAACTAGATAATATTCTTATTTCTAAATTTGGTAATAGGTCAATTCACTCTAAAATTAGACATAACTTGTTTAATAAATTATTCAGAACGTACTATTCTATTTTATATGCTATGCGCTTATAAGACGAAGACAATACATCAATACATGCGGGTATAGGCGTATGGCGTCCTCTTTGTATTAAATTAATTAATATGTTAGTTAATCAATACTATTTTTAAAATATGAATTATTTTACTTTGTACCTCAAAAGGTATAGTTATTGTATAATTTATAATATCATATGTATTGTATCTATTGTATATATAATATTATTTATAATTACAATTGGACTGTACCTATAAAAATAATTATTTCAGAAAAGTATAGGTATTTGTAAATAGCTTAATACTTTATTTCAATCTTATACAATTTTAGATTTTCCATAACAGGGGTGGCCATCATTTATTTTTTTCAGATCTACTGATTATGTATTTTTAAGTTTTCATCACTAATATTAATAATAAACATACTTCAATTCATAAATTATGAAATTAAAGTATAAAGTTAATCTAAAAATGAGTATTTCACATTAAGTTTTCAAATAATTTCCAAATAAATTAACATTATAATAACACTGTCGGTGTAGAAGTGTCAAACTACCCAAATGGTCAGTTGATTATACTTGATTAACCTGGGAAATTGTCGCTTACTTCTAATTGAAGAAACTGCTCTTAAGGATCATCGGAAAGTGTAGGTTAATATTCAGCTTTTATAATTGTCTTGAGAGGAAATGCCATTTCACACAAACTTGTCAATCCAAAATATGTTTGTAACTATATCTACTAAAATACAATTTTTGGTAACCTACTCGTTAACTTGTCTGTGTTAATTGGTATATGTGCAAATTGTTAAGTTATTTGATCTCACACTGTAGTGTTAAATTGTCTTAGTTATTACAAAACGAGGGGTGACTTCGGACAACACATTAACTATGCCCAGATCATAGGTCAACAATGTAGGAGGTCGTTCGTATAAGAGTTATAGTCCTAATGATATTAAAAATGCAGTTGATGCGGTTAGATATGAAAAAATAACAATACGTCCAGTAAAAACAGAAAAGTAAAAAATAAATTTTAAGTTGACATTTTTATAGAAAAGTAAAGAATTATTTTTTTAGAATATTCAATAAATTATGTTGTATTTGCGATTTTAAAAATTTTTTATTTCAATTTATTAAATTTTTTTAAAAATATCTACATTGTTCGAAGTCAACCATTGTAATTTTAACATCGGTTTTTAATAAAATTCAAAGTTGTCCGAAGGCACCCATTTTTTTTTATTTTTGGGCAGTTTTCAACTTTTAAAAAAAGTGTGAACTTTGATGACTTATGACTATTCTTCTGTTATATGTTTTCAACATACCTAGAGAACATTGTATATTTTTTTCATAATTTTAAAAACAATATACCTATCGAGGTTAATTTTTGAAAAAACGTTCAAATCTGTCCGGAGTCACCCCATTTTATGGTACCTTAATACATAACCCTCCTAGTACATGCTCCACATTACAACTTTTATTATTTTTAAAGGCACACCTATATTTAATACAATAATTGGTAAGATTTTGTTTAAAGCCATTTCAAATTTAATCATACATTTTTATGGACTCGTCTAGTAGTCGTCCTGCTCCCTGCTGGTTAGTCTCTAGATGTTATTACTACTCTAAATTTTTTATGAAAACATATATAAACAGTAGTCTATGCACATTCTCTAGTTAAACATCTGGATTCAATAAATAAATTGTGGTTGCATGTAATAATTTAACTGAGAAGAATTAAATGCAGAAACCAATGGGAATATTTACGAGGTGCACTTGAATTAACAGTATTAACTTTGAGTGATTAGTTAAGTAATGTATAATTTTTTTTTAATAACTGTTTTCATTGTAATATCTTAATAAAGTATTTTATATTAATTAGTAATTATGAGTAAAATACACTTAAGTAAATTTTACAAATAAAAAATAAAATTTTTTTTTTAAATCTATGCATTATTCCATTCGGATTTCAGCAATACAATAAATAAAAATACATATGTATATATATGATTGATTACATTTTAAATGACTTGTTCAATCAATTTTGAGTTTTGTTAAAAAGTGAAAAATATAGTTCTATAAATGCTATCTAATCATAGGCATTGTTATTTTTAAGAAATATATGGATGGTACGGTGTTAAAAATTTAAATTGTTCTTATAAATATGTATTTATCAAAAATGTCCTGATTCAATCCAACGCAATCCAGCCAATAAATAAGATGATCCCTAAATCAGTGTACACTGTGTATTTTTGATGCCAAATAGCATATTATAAATAAATATTTATATTATATAATTAATTTAGGGAAATGAGATTTTCAAAACTGTGTTTGTTGCGTTCTTCCAAGGAGAGCAGCTCAAGTCACGGGTGAAAAAAGTTTGCTCTGGGTTCCATGCATCATTTTATAATTGCCCAAGTGCACATTCTGAAAGACAAGAGATGTTAAAGGGTGTTAAAACGAGACTGGAAGATTTGAATATGGTAATATAAAATATCATATAGCCCCTTAAATACTGCTTATTGACTTGCTTAAATTAATATCGATTATTTTCTTTCAGGTGCTTAATCAAACAAGAGACCATAGGCAACGTGTGTTGACAACTGTAACAAAAGATTTGCATAATTGGGGTGTTATGGTTCGCAAAATGAAAGCTATCTACCATACACTTAATTTATTCAACATGGACGTTACCAAAAAATGTCTGATTGGTGAATGTTGGATACCAATAAAAGACTTGGCATTTATCAGACATACATTGGCTGAAGGCAGTGTAAGATCATTCATTTATTATAAGTATATTTATCAACTTGATGTATATTGGTTATGTTGGTTTTGTTTCTTATCTAGAAAGCTGTAGGCAGCTCAATACCTTCATTTTTAAACATAATCGACACTAATGAAAATCCTCCAACGTTCAATCGAACTAATAGGTTCACTCAGGGCTTCCAAAATTTGGTGGATTCATACAGCGTCTCTGGTTATCGAGAAGTTAATCCTGGTGAATTAAAACTGGTTAATTGATATGTATATGTTATTAATATATTATTTTTTATTTAGCCTTATACACTATAATCACATTTCCGTTTCTTTTCGGTGTAATGTTTGGTGATGCTGGCCATGGAATAATTTTAACAGTATTTAGCTCATATATGGTCATATATGAACAACAATTGTCTAAAACGAAGTCTTCTAATGAAGTAAATATAAAAATGTTTAGTATTATTTATGCTTTTTGTTACACCATTGTAGCATGTATATAAAATATAAATACAAAGAGTACTTGGGCTTCTTTAAGTTTCGAGTAAAATTTGAAAGTTATTATTTTCACTGCAATAAGATATTGTATGGTTATAAATAATACTATAATAATAGTAAATAATAAATATACTTGCTAATATTATTATTTGTGTGGATTGTTGACAGTAAAATCTTGTGAATAATTTAACTTCAAAATATTATTTATTTTCTAAAATTTGAATTATTTTCATAACAATACGCTACAATATTTTCTTAATTATTCTTATTGTAACATACTGAACCTATAAGATACTATAACATAATATATTAGTATTAAATAATATTTTTTATTAGTGAATTATGGATACACATTATTAGTTTTATAATTAAATTATTAAATTCATATAAAGGTATTTTTCACTAATAAAAAGAAAGCTATAGTAAATAATATTCTAAATAGTAAATTGCAAAAATTATTAATACTCGTCATTTCCTACTTACAATACTAATATGTTAGGCTATGTATAATAAGCTTTACCAAGTTTCATTTTTTAATTATAGATAAAACCTTTTTTATCAAGTGCACAACCCTTTTTGTTTTAGTCTTAGTAAAATAAATAATCTTTCTTTTTAAATTCATTAGTACTTAATATTTTTTTATAACCAAATAAACTTTTGATGTGTAATCATTTGACATATTATAGCTCAATGGCTATTTTTGTGTGCACTATTTCACACTTTATACATTACTAAACTTCAAACTCTTATACAACTCTCATTTGTTTGACTTTCCAGTAAACTTTTTTTTTTTGTTAAAGACAGGAAAACTTATGAATAATCTTGTATTAAATTTACAAATCTTAGATATAAACAGAAACATTTTTACAAATTTCTAACTCATATTAGTTTTCAAATTTTGATGATTAATTTTAATACTTCAAATGCTCTTAAAAAATGTTTGTGGATAACATTTTTATTTTGAATTTCCGTTGACAACAACTTATGAGGAACCTTGTATTAAATTGTCATGTATTTTGACCAAGCAAAACATTTTTGAGTAATTTAATGAAAAAAAAACTAAAATATCCAAAATGTTTGATAATAATAGCTCAAAAAGTCATCAACAAATTAAAGTAAATGGTTACATATCATCTAAATCCAATGTTACTTTTGGTGTCCCACAAGGTGGTCATTTATCCCCTTGGTTGTTTTTATAAATATTCTTATTCGATATCCGTTTATGTTTCAAATCTTGTCAATTTAAACTCTGCTGATGACCTGAAACTGTATCATAATTTAGCCTGTGTAAATGATTGTTCTACTCTTCAAGAAGACCTAAAAGACTTCTTGATTGGTGTATTATAAATAAATTGAAGTTTAATGTTTCTAAATATTCAAAAATTGCGTTTTGTCGTACAAAAAGTAAAATCAACTTTAATTATTCAATTAATAATATTATATTACCTAATGTTGCTACCATTCGTGATCTTGGTATTACATTCCAATCTGGTTTATTATTTTCCAATCACATTGATCAAATTTGTTTAAAAGCTCTAAAAACCCTAGGATTTTTAATTAGGTCTACTTCATCTTTTACTGATATAATTATTATATTAACACCCTCTACCTTTAATGTAACTTGTAAGTATGTATACAATATTTTATACAATTTGGCATTTGCATTCACCCCTACCTACACAATTATTAGTAATCAAATTCAAATACTGCGCACTACTAAAAATCAGAATAAATAGCCATTTTTATAGCTTATAAAATTAAATTTTTATAAGTACCATTTAAGTATTGTTTTATGCATTTACTTTTAATCTTGCATACAACATTTAAAATTCATATACATGTATTAATGGTAATATATTAAGCAGTCAGTTGCTATTGGTTTGTTAAACAAGAAACTCAAATGGCGTAATTATGGTAATAATAATAATACAGAGCTTGTAACGGATATTGGATACTGATTTTGAATACTGAAAAAAAAATTTCGGTTTCGAGTCCTGAATTTATAAGTTGATACCTAATAAAATTATCAAAATGTTAGGGGCCAACCATTTGAGAGAGTTTAAGCTTGTTATCCTCCCTGTGTGCACCCTTGAACCCTAGTAGTTGTGGGTCAAACAAAAAATGATCTTATTATCAGGGCTTAAATCAAAAATAATAATACCGTTTACCGGATATTAAACATTTTGATCGGATGGCTGTTTAACGTTATATGCATATTAAACGTTATGATCGAATGACTGTTTAACATTATTCAATTTATGCTTTTAAATGTTATAAAAATTTAAACGTTATTCAACTTAAGCGTTTAAACGTTTTACAAATTTAAACATTATGAAGCGTTTAGCGTTATCTGATGGATATAGTTAGTTTCCTACACAAAACAGAATGATTGAAAAATATAATATTACAAAAATAACCATACTATATTATAGTTTACTGATAGTTATAATTTTATAAATATTTTTTTTTTCAGGCAATTATATGTTTCAATTGTTTATTGTTTCTGTTCCGTCATCCGTTAACCGTTTAAATCGTTTATCATTTACTGGTAGGTTAACTGTTATTCGTTTCCATCGTTTATCGTTAACCGATATGTTATCCGTTTTCAATTTCGATTGTTTTTTGAATTGATTAACGTTATAAAAACGTTTTGAAGCCCTGCTTATTATTCATTTTTGAATTGTACCAACATTTTACTAAGGACATTGATTAAAAATTTTGAAAAAACACTTGTTTCACAAAACTCTGAAGTGATCTCCACAGAATCCCAGGATTTTAAGAAACTCTAATTTTGAGAATTGCCTCATTTTATTAGTTTGATATAATATCAGTGTAAGTGAGTGAACTTGCAAGTGTAAAAGTTAAAATTAACCCCCTGGTGAAAACAATGTCAAACTAAATTTTAGAGTTAAGGAATTAAGTGAGGGGATGGTGAGGCATTGAACCATGGAAGTGGAGGGCTTATTTTTTTTAAACAAATTTATGAATTATTATTTGTCTGCCTTGTTAAACATAACACACCATTAAACATATTATGATGACCCTTTTTTTGCTTAAACGCTAACATTGCCTACACAAATGAGTCCTAGCTACTGCATATGAATCCCCCCCCTTTACCACATAGCTTAGCACTAATTACACTCGTTGAGTAATGAGTAACTCGTATTCCCACTTTCGAGTAACGTACAGTCGCGTAGTATTATTTTCAGTAATTATTATTTATTATCAACGATCATTTTTACCTACCACGCATACACAAAATTGGTAAGTGTCAATATTGTTAATTATATAGGCCATATGTTGGTGGTAACCTAACCTAACCTAACCTCAAAGTTAAATATTAAGTGTGTAGTACGAAAAAAATTATATTTTAGCCTCTGGAGGTAGGTAACAATTAAGTACCACATTAAAGAAAACATTAGATATGACTACCATTGATTATTCATCAGTATACAGAAATGGCTACTTACCAAAAGTACACAAAATAATAACAACAATTTTTTTTTATTTTTTTTTTGATCTTTAAAGCCCGGCGACTATGGCCATTAGCTGATTGTGTGGTTTTTATTATTGTAGGTAGTAGGGTTTGTAATGGTAGGGTTTTTTACACGTGTGTGTTGTGTTTGGCAGAATTTCAAATGGGGCACCCGTAGGTTTCTGCCATGCCCCGGAGTGGGGGATGGCGGCACTGGTTTTTCCGGACACCGTGACTTGCCCGGAGAAAAATGCCAGCCGGTGGTCGAGAATCGAAACCGCGACCGGCAGCGCCGTAGCCGACGCGGTAGACCGCTCGGCCACCTCGTCCCCCTAACAACAATTTGACAAGTGTTAAAACTACAAATTTCTACCAATAACTATCAAAGGTGTGATACATTTTACGTACGAATGTCAATTCAGTAGCAGGATAAATATATTAGAAGAAAATAATAATTAATACTATTCAGAATAAGATTGAACCACTCTGCGGACCAAAACATGTTTTTTCAGCATTTTTTAACCTAACCTAGTTTTAGAGGCTATTACCTAATTACCCTTAAAATAGTGAGTTTTTTTTTACCTTAAATAGTGTTTAAAATAATATAATATTCAAAAATAAATATCTTTATAGTATTAATCATAGTAAAAGTAATATAACGTGTACACATGCACTTGTTATTAGTTTTATTGTTTGATATGGTTTAATTTATTGTACCAATCACACAATTTAGAACAATTTTTTTCTTTTTGCGTTTATTAGATTTGGAATATATTTTTTGGCGGTCGCTACATAATCTTGCTCATGGGATTTTTTTCAATATACACTGGAATTATATATAATGATGTATTTTCAAAGTCCATAAATTTGTTCGGCTCCAGTTGGTCAATCAACGAAAGTCCAAGTCATATCATTGGAAACAAAAGTATCACATTAGATCCTGCTACCGAAGATTATTCGCAGAAACCTTATCCACTCGGACTTGATCCAGTTTGGCAGGTAATTTAATCTTAAAACTGTACTTTACAATATCATATCAATTATATCAATAACGATTTACAATAATATTGTGTTCTTCAGATCGCTGTTAATAAAATAATATTTCTTAACTCGTACAAAATGAAACTATCAATAATTTTTGGAGTCGTTCATATGATGTTTGGCGTTGTACTCAGTGTTGTCAATCACGTGTATGTATATTAAAAACTATTTCTAATAGTTCAATATTATAAGTATGTACTTTATCCAAAATCATTTATTTTTCAGACATTTCAACAAAAAAATCAACATAATTTTACAGTTCATACCTCAAATGTTATTTTTGGTATTGTTGTTTTTGTATATGGTGTCTTTAATGTTCATGAAGTGGATCTGGTATGGTCCTAAAAATCGTACGTGTATTTAAATATCATTGTTAACATAAATGTTGATTTTGAAAGTTTTAATTATTATAGCCTTAAAGACCAGCCCTAGATGTGCTCCATCCGTACTCATTATGTTTATTAATATGATGCTTTTCAAACACACAAAACCATTTGACGGATGTGACGAGTATATGTTTGAAGGACAAGTAAGTAATTTCAATCTCAAAGAATGTTAATCATATTTTATTCATACTTGACACATTTTATATTTTAGGATCGTTTACAAAAGATCTTTGTTATGATCGCTATGCTATGTATCCCAGTAATGTTGTTCGGCAAACCATTGTACATAATTCTATACGAGAGACGCCACAAGAAACATACGGTTTGTGATTTGTGTTAATGTGTTATAATATTTTTTTTTTTAAGTGCCCTGTGGCTTTATTATTTAAATGGCTCTAAGGTCTTTATAAATATGTTTAACAATAATTGTATATATTATATTTTACATACTAGATTTTGATAATTAATAATACATATTACTTAACACGTTTATAAAGTCACACTTCCAATGAAGTGGCTCCTATCTTAATCAAATTCTTCTTAAAGTAAGTTGTATGGTTCAGACACTTAAGACATCTGATGTCTTTGAAGTTGTCTAACAGCATGGATCCCGGGGGGGGGGGGTCATGACTCTCCATCCATAAACATGATTAGGTCTTCGTGTTTATTTAAAAGTTAATATAGATCATACCAACATGAATTAAAAAGAGTATATATGCAAAATCTCGTAAACACCAATCTAGCTATCAGCTAGGGTCTACCGTACGGCTGGTTGGACGCCGGCTACTGCAAGTGTCTCACTATAATATGCATAAATTGTGTTTAAAATTTTTTTCACACTAAAAATGTTATATTATGGTCACCGCTGATCAGCTAATCGCTATTCGCTAATTTAGGTTCTATAAAACATATAATAATACATGTTCAAAATATCATTCACAATGTAAATTAATATTTGATTACGTGTATTATATTATATTTCTTTTAATTTTGCTGTGGACGTCTGGACACTTGCGTCTGTTGTCGAGTAATTGTTAATGATATTATGTCAAGATTTGGAAAATAAACAAAGGAGATTAGATTTTATCATTTAATTTTGAAAATTAAGAGGACTGCTACACCTGCATGTGTTGTCTCCATCTTACAAATGTACATCACAAAAACTGTTTTGCGGGATAGAACCACTTAGGTTGTAGTGATAGTTAAGAAACCAAATTGATATTTTATATACAATATAGTTTAGAACATTATCTGGGAAATATCATTTTCATTTTTTTAATATCACTTTTACGAAAAAAGTTCTTAATGTTTCAAAATAAATTAATTTTGTGTTTTTCAAATTTTTTTTGTAGTTCCGATATCGAAAATATAAGAATGATATTTCACTGCCAAAGTTCTCCTTTTTATGTAGTGAAAATGTCGTTTCTTAGTTAGAACTGTATTCTTCTCTGTCCTTTCCCATACAAAACAGTTTTTGCTATGTTTTCATTTGTAAGACTGAGACAACACAGCAAGTGTAGCTTCCTCTTAACAATAATTAATTAAGTTTTGATTTTAGTTAATAATTTCATTTCATTATTTTTTAACTGTGTATTATCTATTTGTCCTTTCGAAGAAATGACCACCTCCCTAATTTTAGTTATAGATCCGCGCCTGTTATCTAAAAACTGGATTATTAATGAACTGATATGGTGATCTAGCCTCGTCTTGTGTTTGCGAGAGAATCTTTGAGTTTTGCTTGCTATTGTAGATACCATCATATTATCACGATGGATTTTGTTGTTTCTTTCTAACTGGTAGGCTGCTGTGGTGATCTGAAGTACGATGTTTTGACAGCGTTGTATTACATCAATATTAGACTTACTGGTACAACGCCACAGTTGAATGCCATACGTCCAAATGGTTTTATAATAGCTACATATGTTAGACGTTTGTTTTTTACTGTTAACTTGGAACTTGGTCCGATTAACCTACACATTTCTTCTTCATTTATGCTTCGCCCCCCACATCCCCTATACGGTTATATATACCGGACATAAATTAATTTAATTTCAAATAAAATAACTAGGGATGGGTCGATATCACTTTTAACCGATAACCCCATTTATGCAAATTTAAAACCGATAACCGATATACCTATTCAAAACTTTGAATTTTTATTCAAACGCATGAACCGATACTATAAAATACCCGATAATACATGATAACATCATTATAAATAAATACGTTTAGTGTTTACAGTTATAACCGCAGAGTTGAAAATACTAGATTATACATATTATAATGATAAATTGTATTTTTTTTTTTTATATCGGTTCAAATATCGGTTTTAAAAAAAAACCGATACCAATAAAACCGATATTGCCAATATCGGCCGATAATCGATATCAGTTTGCATATCGGCCCAGCCCTAAAAATAACAAATTATTACATTAAAAAAAATCTTCTGCACTAATAATATATCATTATTTTCACATCAATAAACCATTATACCGACAGTATACAAAAAAAATTTCTATTCAGTATTCTAGTAATAAATACTAAAAATAAACTTGAGTTAAAACAGTCAATATTATAACATACATTAAAAATAGGTAACATACTAACATCATGAACCCAATTACCCAATACTTAAGTATGTGTGACAATCACTTTTTTTGGCTTCTAGTTTGTTGAAACTGTTTTTCTTCACCCGTATCTTAATTTTATCATTAGCCAAAATGTTTGCATTTTTTGCTCATGTCCCTCAGTTTCTTTTTAAAATCATTAACACCACATACCCAGTGGCGAGCAGAAGCTCTCAATTTTGACGCAGTTGCGTCAACTTTTCAAAGAGGGTGGTGCCACCCTGTGACTGGCACAGAATTACATGCTAAAGCCTGACCTCTTGGCTCTTTTGATCACATTTTATCTACATCAAAACTTTGTTATAAGTAAAAATAGGATGGTGGTGGTGAGTGGTGTCATTTGGGGAAGGGGGGCAGCTGGTTTATGTCTCAGTCTAGTATTTACATCAACCTTAAGTCGGCACATTTCCTACCAACCCTCCCCTCACTTAACCACTATAGAACTATACTATGAGAATCTGAGTGAAAAAAATGTTGAGTCGAAAAAGCAGTGAAAAGTTGCCCTAGTCTAATAAAAACCAAAATGACACCACTGGTGGTGGTGGTAAGTACTTAATTATGAAAATGCATCATTTAAAATTGAAGTTCAGTCCTCTACTGCACATACCTACTGTTATTAGAGATGATTTATGCATTTTTATAGAAGTTCTCAATACTTCTTTAGTCACTTTGGTTGTTTTTTAGGAGGGCTTGAAATTTCTTTAGAACTCCCAGTGGTCATTTCAGGAATTTTAAGTTGTAATTCCTCATTGTTTGATCGCAAGACTGCTACCATTTGTTTCAAGGAAACATTGTTATTTTGTATTTATCAATATCTGTCCAAATACTAACATCAACTAATAAAATATTTTCAAATGTTATAACTGACTGCAATATGTGAAAATAATAATAATATATGTTATGGATGTATTTTTATAATATGTAGTCGGATAGCTGCGGAGAGTTGAACGGGAGCATCGAACTAAAAGAAACTGAATTGAGTGGCATGCTTAACGATGCTGCTGGTCACGAAGAAGAAGAACCGGCTTCGGAAATATTCATTCATCAGTCCATTGAAACCATCGAGTACGTGTTGAGCACAGTTTCCCATACAGCTTCGTATCTTAGGCTCTGGGCATTATCTCTAGCACACGCACGTGAGTTCATGTTTATTAGTTCATAATTATCTGTAGGCTGTTGTGGAAAAAAAAGGGAAGATTTGTTGGTGGTAATGAAGTGATCCGATGGTGGTCTAAGAGACAGAGTTATATAGATTTATGGTGATCCATGTAACACTAGTTTTCTGAATCGATTAAATTGGTAATAACAGTAATAAAAAAGGTGGGTAAGTGGATGTCGCTCTGCTGTACAGTAGGTTACAAGTGGGTCACTGTATAATGGATGCTATTAAATTTGAATTATATCTATGGTATTAAAAAGAATATCGACCTATAATAAATTCCAAATTAATCATATCACAATATCCATTAGGTACTTATAACACGTTATACACAAACAACAAACCCTGATACTATCATATATATATATAATAGTACACTTTAGAAGTTTCAAGTAGGTACCCACGAATAATATTATATAATCACAACAAAATAACTAGGTTTTTTAATATGTAATTTCGTCCAAATTTGAACATAAAATGACTATAAAAGTAAACTGTGATTGTATATTTTTTAGATTTTTCGGTAAGAGAATTAACTACTTACGTGGAATCTTGTTTTAAATTTTCAATCCTTAGCTATAAAAACTGAACATTTTATAATTTATTAATTACGATGATTAATAATTTTCGAGATTTTGAAAAATTCTATCAAAATTCGATGTTAAAATGCTTATAAAAAAAAATTGTGCCTATGTATTTTTAATATTTTTCAACTGATATTGTAACAATATATCAGGAGCCTTGTATTAAATTTTTACACTTTTTGGCCCAACAGATAAAACTTAATTGATATTTATAGAAAAAAAAACTAAAAAAATTGAAAACTGAAAATGTCCGTAAACGCTCAAAAAGAGTCAAAATATTTTCAAAATTGTAGGGTGTATAGGAAATGCTAATATAAACATTCAGTGAAATTTTCATGTATCTACAGTAATTCGTTTTTTAATTATAACAAAAAAAGGAAATTGCCACATGAGAAATCGAGTGAATATCCAATGTTGTAAAAATTTGAATTTCAAACGCTCATAAAAATTTAATTTGACTGTCCAGTAGAAATTTTTTTATTGATAAAGGTAGACAATCTTATGAGTAATCTTGTATTAGATTTTCAAATCTTAGATTTAAAAAGAATAATTTTTACGAATTCTTAACTCAAAATAATTTGCTAATTTTCGTGATTTTTCCATATTTTGTCAATTTTTGAACTTTAAATGCTTATAAAAAAAAATTGTGTCTAAGGATTTTTAATATTTTTCATCTGCCTTTGAAACAACATATAAGGAGCCTTCTATTAAATTTTCAAGCTTTCGCAACCAACAAATAAAATTTTATTGAAATTTTTAGAAAAAAAACTAAAAAAAAATGGAAAATGAAAATGTCCCTAAACAGTTCAAAATAAATCAAAATATTTTGAAAATGTTATCGTGTATAGAAAATGCAAATATAAACAACCAGTGAAAATTTCATGTATATACGTTCATTTGTTTTAGAGTTACACCAATAACCAAAATCGATTTTTTGGAAAATCAATTTTGCGTAAAAATTCCCGTTTTTCCTTAATTTTTATGTTGTTTTTCCCGGCGCTTGTGAAAACTACTGGGAAATTTAAATTTTGACCTCCCCAATGCACCATCGATATTCACTTTCCAATCGAACAAGATACTGAAGTCGAAAATCGAAGCATTATTTCGACTACTTATCGTGTACACAGATACAAAAAAAATAAAAAATAAAAAAACACACATCATTGTAAAATCAATACATTCATCGTTTCACTCAGAATCTAAAAAAGTCAGCATAGTGCTTTTATAGGTTTTCTTAATTTTTAAATATCAACTCGTTTTATTATGCAAGATATTTTTCCAAACTTTCTTCCCAAATGTTCTGTACTTTACTAATTACTTCCATAATAAAATGTATAGATAAAAAATAATTATGACAAAAAAAAAGAAATTGTAAAATTAGATTTTTTTAAATCATGAAAATTGACTGAGAAGATAAGTTTAACAGGCTAAATGAGCCACTGCAGTGTATTGTATGTATACCGATTACCATTAATATTATCGTTATAATAATCATTACGGTACTTACCTAATACCTAATACAGATATTATATTATTGTACCCATCATTTAAATAATTAAATCCAATTTCAACCACAGAACTATCCGAAGTATTATGGAATATGGTTTTGAGATTGGGACTGACCAGCGAGACGCATTGGGGTGCTATCAAATTATATATAATGTTTGGCGTGTGGTCTTTGTTCACGCTGGCGATATTAGTCATGATGGAAGGCTTATCGGCATTCCTACACACGCTCCGATTGCATTGGTACGTATTTTTAATTTATATACCAATCTAAACTTTTTGACGACTTTCCTTTAAAACTTTTCTGTCATTATTATCATTATTAATTATCATAGTTACCATAATTTCCATTTCTCATCATCTCAAAGATTCGATTACCATTGCCATACCTACTAAAGTAATAGGTTAATACTCTATGCAGCCCATACAGATATATAATTTGCTAATATCTATCTTATCATTGCATATACAGGGTGTCCCGTGAGGATTTACTCATTGCGATATCTTCTGAAATAATAGAGATATCGTAATTCTATTTCTTATTGACTCACGAGTAGCACTACAATACTAATTTTTAATTTTTTTTAGTTTTGTTAAAAGTTAAAAAATATTTTTTATTAATTATTTAAAAATTTGAGATCCATTTTGAATTTATTTTGAATATTGACTTTCAATCATATTCTTTATACTTTTTATTCTAAGTTTTTTTACATCCCCTCTACGGCATTAATCCTCACGGGCACCTGATATTACCTATATTATTGTTCTTCTGCTACACTATGGTTGTGGTCCTTGTTGTCTTCAGGTTTTTTTCCATACTTCCTAATCTAACTTATAAAGTTATAAATAATATTTATTATCCTATAAATATTATGATTAGTCATTATTTGTATATTATAATTATTAGGGTGGAATTCATGAGCAAGTTCTACGTTGGCAACGGACACGCATTCCAGCCATTTTGGTTCAAACATGTGCTCGAAAATGAAGAGGCTGTCGAGGACTGAAGTTTGCTTTTCATATACCTATTTATTTATTTCACCCCAATACTTGAACTTCTTTTTTATTTTATACCAGTTAGATTTTTAAATGTATAATAATAATTTTTAATTTTTTTGATTCGTTATTGTTATACATAATAATATGTTTATCATTGTTGAATACTACGTTGTATCAAATTTATTAAGGGTAGACCTTCTCTCTAAATTTATATACAAATATTGTATTTTTATTTTGCACTGCCACTAACTTACTGAAAAAAACGCCTTTATTTGCTTATATACTGTGGCCATCATATTGCTATAACGATTTTAACATTTCTTATCGCGCATATCATAATATCACATTTTTATTATTCATGTCAAAAATTCAAGGTAGCCTATATATATATATATATAAATAATTATATTTAAAACTGCTGCTCTTCGTATTTAAGTACTCGATACAGGTGGACACTTGTATATCGCGGTTATTTTTCTCTTTAGTTTTTATTGTTGTACAGGGTCCTGACTTATGATACATCTATATACGATAACAACATGATAGGTAGGTGACTTTATGTAATTTACCCTTCATGTTATTTTTGCTATCATACCAACACATCTTTTTTATGTATGGAAGAAAATGTTCTTGCATGGTGCATACTATAATTATTGATTCAATAGTGTTACATAGTTTGTGTATAATTCATAACAATATTTTATAATACACTTGTGAACAATTTAAAATCTACTTGACAATCATGATCACGATTTTATTGTGTATATCTACCCAAACCCTGATATTCTAATATTTTACATTTTTGAAATAATATTCAGTGCCTTAATATATTGCTTCAAATATTTAAATTGTATATATAATTATACCCATATATACAGCGAGTGATTCACTAAACATGCTCAATACTTTTGTGATTAGATAATGGCATTTCTATTACCCCATCACTATTATTATACATTATATGTACTATATTATAGTGAGCGTGTTTAGTTAACCACATGGTGTATATAGGTATTACATTTATAATGTATATCGTTAATTTTTATTAATTCATTACATTCGATTAGTATTCTAAATTAAGATTAAGATAAATTTTGCCAATTACTTCATAGGTAATTACTATACTGAACATAACATTTTTAGATTTAATTAAAATATTTTAATTTATTTTTGACAATCGAATTAATAGGATGTACTATTAGGTGCTTTTATATCGGCCGTGTGTATCTAATAATTAGTTTCATAGGAAAGTAAATTATATATTTGTGTCTGACAATCCACTTTTAAAACTTCGAACATAATCATGCATTTTCATAATATAATATATCGTACATATATTTTTTAATTTATCTTATTTTAAACATGCATACGAAGCAATACGTTTTTAAATTATTATTATTGTTCATATATATTATACAGGTATATATATAAGTATAAAAATATCTATATTTTATAACAATTGCAACGATGGACTTGATAGAAAACCGAAAAAAATTAATTATACATGCATATGTTGAAAAAATTGTTTCGCTGTATTCTTTAATTTTGAAAATAATGAATTGTGGTTCATGGTGATATGAAGCATACGATTCGGAACTTTATAGTGCTTACTACTCTGTGTCCTTGTCTAATTTGTATAAACATCCCATCTATATGTAGCTGTCCACTGTTGCTCAATTGTTTTTCTAGCAATAAAACTAATTATTAATTAATAATACATATTCTAAATATAGATTTTATCTTGTTTTTTTTATACAAATTATATGTTAATTGTATATCGATTACAGATTATTATATATATATTATTATATTATAAAACATTTATTTAGTTGAGTAGGATGATCTTATCTTACATAATTATAATAGTATAATTTAGAATTAGGTAATAAAGTTATTTGAACGTATATATTGTTATTTAAAACATAGCTATACAGACATTTGCTGTCTATACCGTATAATATACCTAATGCTCAATAATCGGAATTTAATTTTAGATAAATTCGAATTTAGATATATTTTAACGACAAGAAAATATTAGATTTAGTTAATTTTTGTGTATATAAAAATACAATATAATTCTATGATTATTCGGTAAACATAAAAATATTGTAATAACACATAGAATGTACCTTATACGAATCGTTTATAACAACAATATATTATTATATTATATTATCTTGTAAAGCTTATTTTTTTTCATGATTTGTAAAATTGGAAACATAGAAATCATATTTGAATACTGATTAGTGATTAAGCAATAATATCACAAAAACGTATTAAATGTATTTTCTATGTGTAATACCTTTATGACTTTTGAATGTCAAATGGTTTTCGTGTATGGAAAATTTCAGCCATATAGCCACATAACAGAACATTTTTTTTTCTTAATTTTATCAAAATTATTATTACTATAATTTATACCGTATATCTTACCTATATAGATGTATAAAAATACACATTAGATACATTATAACGTGTTTTTCTTTAATTTTTACTTCCCACTTTTCCAATCCGCCCAGTTGTATTATAATATTAACCATTATCATAGTATTTTTATTATATTAAATAGAATGCCTACAATTAACCATTATTTTGTTTTACCTATACAGAAACCTGCCTAATATAGGACCATATAGCACGTAAATGAACCTATAGCTTATAAAATATGTCTATTGTATTTTTTATTATTATTATTATTACTATTATTATTATTATTTGATATATTTGTTGTTATGATACTTTAGTGGGACCAAAATAATATAATATTCAGTACCTACTCGTTTATTGTTACCTTTTAGACCTAATCATTTTTCTTTCTTTTTTTGTTTTGTGTTGTGGCTAAATAGATATCTATATATAATATTAAAGTATTATGTTACAGTGTATCAATTTTTATATGTATTATATGTAGAAATCTATTTTAACGCAGTACAGTCTAAATATTATATTTAGTGAATATAATAGTTGGCACGCATTTCGTCATATTGTTTTTATTGTAATAAACGACCGTTGTTATTTTACAAATTTGTTACTTTATCCTTAGAAAAATACGATATTTAATTGTTTTAGAATGTTTGATTCTTTTTTAATATTCTGTTTTTGTTTTATTTATTGTATATATTCATATTATATATATATTTAAAACTTCAAAAACGAGAAACAAAAGCCGTTGACTGAAGTATTAAATATTCGAATGTATGGCGCCATTCATATTGATATGTAGAATACGAATTTGAACTTGTAATTGCTCTATGTGACTAAAATTCTAATAAATATATTGCAAAAGTTGTTAAAAAAATGTATTTTTATTTTTATTTACGTTGCATTGGAGAAGAATGCTTTGTTGTAATGTTATGTGCTTTATGTCAGTTGTGGCTGTAGGATTCCGACCAAATGCTAAGACATACTATTGCCACTAGACTGATTGTCATTACTTATTTGATGATATTAATGACTCGTGAAAATTACTGTGTAAAATCATTGAATTGTTTGGAATATTCCCATTTTTCATTTTATTTTGTATGCAAATAATAATATGATTAGGACATATTGTGGAAGTGCATGTACCTAGAATGAATGAAAAGAAATGGAAGGCCGAAGAAGAGATGGGTAGATTTAGAAGATATTCATAATTGTATGTCAAACTGCATGCATGAGAGGTAGGATATCAAGCCTTATGAGGATGGCCACATCCTAAAATAATTGAAAGTGTTTGGCAGGGTGAAAAGGTGAAGATGATTATTAAATGTATTACCTAGGTTATATATACATAATATACAGGATGATATATTAAGCATGATCACCCTATTTTATCCTTACAATCTAATTCTAATTTTTGGAATATTGAAATACACTTGAAAACCATATTTTCGAATACTTGAGATTTTTGTGTCACTTGAGGATCACCCTGTGATAATACAAGCTTCTGTTTTTTAAATAGACCCTCCACCCCTTTTCACTTTTAACTATTCAATTTCAGATTATTTAAAAATATTAGTTATTACCATTGGTCTATCAATATAAATAATTTGTAAAAATTATCTAAGTATAAAAAACACTGCAACTTATATTACATACATAAAACAATTTTTAAAGATTATTATCCTTAGTAATTTTTATAACTCAGAAACAACTTCAGTAAAAAGGGGGTTCTCATTTAAAAATAGAAATTTGTATCTCCACAGGACACTCCTTTAGTAGTACAAAAATATAATGAAATCGGAAATATGGTTTTAGGTATACTTAAAAATTCTAAAAACAAAATTTGAACAAAAATATTATTAAAAAAAAGGGGGGTAAGTATGCTTAAAAATCACTGTATGTATTATATAAATATTGCAATATTTTTGTATGTTAACTCATTAAATTATAATGTTTTAGTACTACTTTCTTCTCGTCTTCGAAGAACCTCACTTGAGTTAATAAAATTGTATAGGGACTAGAGATACATTTTCTATACTTTGTTATTATATTGTATTAAAAAAATATTGATTTAGACTGTGCATTAAATAGGCAACTTAAAGGCACTCAAGTATAGAATTCAAATTATACGTATCTTAAAATCGGCAGGAGTTTCAAAAATCTATAGACACATAATTATAACTAACTTTGTGTAATTAGCTTTAAATCTTTAATATAGAGTGAAATTACCTATTATCAAACTGAAAGTTAGAAATATTATTTAGAGCAACGTTTTTTAAACTTTTATCCGTGGAATCCTTTTTTATGTCCACTTTTATAATAGAACCCCTAATTTTTTTGTTTGCTTTTTAGCTTTTTATATTTAGCTTTCAACAATACGTTATTAAAGCTCGACAATTTGAACCCCCATTTAGTAGTTCAATAGTTTGACTTTGAATGCAACATTTTATATTATGATATATTTTATTACAAAGACTAAAATAAAACAATTTATGCCGCCGCCCCAAAAGCTTAGCTTGTGGTGGGTGCAGCAAGTTCAATACAACTCAAATATATTACATAAATTACTAAAATATACATATGAAATTCTATTATTATTTAAGTATTACATATTTATAGAATTAACATATTTCATATTATAGAGTAATATATACTCTGTTCAGGTTAAGAGTGCCCAAACGTAAACTAGTACTGTTCGTGCTTGCATCTTGGTACGCGCCTCAGTATTCATGCCAGGCACTCTTAACCTGAACAGAGTATAATATAATTTATAATGATAAGAATACAACTAAAAGTGTTTTTTTTCTTTTTATAATATAACATACCTAGTTAAGATTTAGATGTTTTAAAAAAATCTTATAACAATATTTATTTTAATATGATTTTAATGTTAAGCTTAATACATAAACGAATACCGACATTAAAAACCATTTTTCTACCAAATTCTTTACTGGTTACTGGGATATTCAGATTTACAGATTGTTTCATGCATGTTTGATAGCTATATAATAATAATTTCATATAATAATGTGTATATACTATATACTATTCCGTAGGTATTTAATTCAAAAAATATTTTAAATTACAGACAATAAAGGGACTATTACATTTTAAAGAGATGAGATGAATGAAATTAATTTTTATTATTACAAATATTCTTAAAATTGGGCTTTATTGATGAAAGTTGTATTATCATATTTAGGGACAGCATCAAGTCTATTACGGTATTTTGTTTTTGTTGATACATAGGTGTAGAATCCCGTTTCACACATATAAGTAGTTGCAAATGGTAAAAGTGTCAACACGGCATTTTGTGAATTGAATATATACATCTTTTGAACGGTACCAACATTTTAATAAGGACATTGATTAAAAATTTAGAAAAAACACTTGTTTCTCGAATCCCCGAAGTTATCTCCAGGGGTTTTAAGTAATGTTTATTCAGAGAATTGCCGCATTTTATTAGTTTGATATAATATAAGTTTAAGTGAGTGAACTTGCAAGCGTAAAAGTTAAAATTAACCCCCTGATGAAAACAATGTCAAACTAAATTTTAGAGTTTAAGAATTAAGTGAGGGGATGATGAGGCATTGAACCATGTACATGGAAGAGGAGGGCTTATTTTTTTTAAACCAATTTAGCGCAAATAACTAAAACAGTATACCATAAGCTGCAAGTTCCAAAAACTGACCTAGGTTAAAATAGAAGCCAGTAGGAACTATAAGTTTAAAATCAATATATTAAGAGGATGTAACACAAGAATTTGTTGTCTCTGTCTTACAAGTGCTTAACATCAAAACAATATACGCTCAGCAGATCACGTCTAACATTGTTAGTTTAAAAATTAGGTGAATCTACCTATAGAACATTATTTATAGTTGAATGTGGGGTTTTTACAATACTCAATTTTTCAACAAGTTTTGCATTTTTAATATATAATATAGCAAAAATTAAAAATGCTCTATAGACTGTAACTTACTTAGAAACTGAATTATCGTAGATATTACTTAGTCTTTGCCCCCCCCCCCCAGTTTTGACCCAGTTACACAACTAAGTGTGAATATTTAAAACAATTCCAAATGAATGGTTTTAAGGGAAGTTTGTTTATTGAAGAAAGTGCCATGAGGCATTTTATACCTGTTTGTTTCGATTTTGTATGGAATATTGTTAAAAATTAATTCCAGGAACCAGCAATTGATAAAAGTTTAAAACTTATCTGGCAACTCAATTTTTAAATGAAAAAAATTCTATTAACAAGTTTTATTTATGTAATTTGACAACAAATCCTTTAATTAAAGTTTATTGAAGCAAACAAATATAAAACAAAAAAGTAGGTAACAATCAGACTACATACACAAAGTAAACATTTAAGTCATATTTAAACACCTTATTATGGCTTATAATAAATCATGTCATTATAATATATTGTATAACAAATGTATATAAATAAAAAAATAATTAATAAGGAACTGTTATCCCACAAAGGTTAAGTATTTGATTCAGTAGGCCCTTGGCTGCAAGTGTCTTGATTAGACTGTTGATGAATGAACACAGGTCTCACACTGTCAGAATTTAATATTCGAGCAAACATTTGTGATCGTCCTGTAACATATTTTTTATTAAAGTCAAATTTGTGCAGAGATAGGTAACTAAGGTCTGTTTCATATGGACGTGTATGATACGTGTCCACGTGAAACAGGCATAATGCAAAAATATAAACCTTTAATATTGTGTTGTGATAATGGTATAACTTTTAGTCCTTGAAAAGATTTCAAAGAACTTGCAGGCACAAGTATTTGTTGAGAACCTTGCTGCACCACAGTGTAAGTGTTGGCGGTAGAACTAACTACTGCTGATGATGTTGATATACCCGTAAGAGCTGATGAAATTTGTGCCTACGAAAATTATTTAAATTTAATAATATTTATAGGAAGTTAATGTTTCAATGGCTAATAATATAATTCCAATAGATCATGTGACATAATAATGATACTAAAACTAAAAAATTCAACTATGTAACATTAAATTTTTAAATAGAAACATGTCCACCATTAATAGACTTCACTGAGAAATAGTTTTTCTCATAAAACTAAATACTTTTCAAAATATAAACTTACTTTATTAGTGACTAATAAAGGTTTTCCGCCAATTTGAGACTGAACCACACGTACAGTTTGTGGTTGATTTGTATCCCCAGATTTTAAACGATCATTTATAGTTGATATCCGAGTAGGTGTTTTCTATGAAAATATACAGATACATTTAAGTACATAAATATTACAGTTTAAAGTAATTTCTAATTAATTACCTGTCCAATATTTGGTTGATTTGATGGCATAAGTTTAGGTTGAGCAACAGTTACCACTGTATAGTGTGGTTGACCACTCTTAGAAGTTTGTACTCCAGAAAATCGTAATGGAGTACCTAAATAGCAAATAGAATATAAATAATATGATCAATTAGTATACATTTTTGATTATCTAACCTGGAACACCAGATAATTTTCTATTTGCAAGAACTGAATCAACGGGTAATTGTGCTCTTTGATTGGACATAAACTGGCCAACAAGAGGCTTAGTAATTTTTCGTTGTACATTTTGAGTGGCTTGTTTTGCTTGCACTAACAAATTAGCAGTTTTTGCTGGATTTTGTTGTATTTTTGTTCCACGGATTGATGTCAATATTGGCTAGATTAAAAGAAATTAAAACAATTATTAGAAATTCAGTAGGTACCTATCACATGTTTAAAAATACATTTTGTATACTTGGTCTAATTCTATAATGAAAAACATTTAAATGATCAGTCAATTTTATAAAATTAACCTAAACTTTTGTTAATTGATTTCTTCTTATTACCTACATTATTCAGAGAAAAATTGAAACTATACCAACTTAAAGAATGAAAAAAAAAGTAAAACTGGGTCTTCGGGTTATGATTGTTCACATTCATATTATCATTGATTATAAATACTGTAGATTACTTACAGGCCGGTTTTCGGTGGCACGAAATATTTACTCCTGGTAGATGGCGAGGCCACTTGACTACTAGCGATTACAACATTGCCAGGCATTAATAAAATGGGGGCCCGTGTTATTGGGTACGGGCTTGTGGTTAGTAATGTCGGGTAATGTTGTAATCGCTAGTAGTCACTTTGCCTCACCATCTACCGGGAGTAAATATTTCCTGCCACTGTAAAACCAGCCAGTAAGTAATCTACAGTTACAAAAAACCGGCCAGTCAATCTATGGTATTTATAATCAATGATAGTATGTATTGTATTGAAATAATAAATTACAACATACAATAATTATGTTATGCAGGAAGAAGTCAAGATATTTTTGATAACAAAACAAAATATGTGCATGCTTATTATTTTTACCATGTTTTTATTTTACACTAATGAGGGAATTAAGATAAGACCTCTTAGAAATAATATGTGAATTTTCAACCAATTGATAGAGGTAATAAAAAAAATCCACCATCATTAGAGTTTGAACACAGGATCAAAAACTAAATGATAATTTCACAAAAAATTGTAGAAGAAAATATTAAGAATTGTGTGTTTTTTAAGATATAAATTAAAAATATAAAGACAAAGAAAAATATAACAAACCTTAAGTGCAATAGGTTTCTGATCATTTCCTTGTTGTTTAACCATGACAACCTGAGCCTGTTGCCCTGTCTGTTGTTGTGGCCTCAGCATCAATAATTGTTGTAATTGCTGCTGTGTTATCTGTTGTGTCTCTTGTTGTTGGACATTTCTTGGACCCTGTTTTAAGAATATAACTTGAGGCTGTTCAGTATCTCCTCCTTCTGTCTTGTCATCCCCATCAGTCTTTCTGATAATGACTTGCTGTTTGTTTTGTTGCTGAATTTGTTTATGCTGCAAGAGTTGCAGTTGCATTTGTTGTTGTTTCTGCAATTTTTGTTGGTGCTGAAGTTGAATAAAATGTTGAACAGTTTGTGGTTTTACAGTATCTGTTTGGTTAACAAGAGTTGTATTTTGTTCAGAACTAGAAACTGAATGATCAGATCGCTTTTGTTTTAAAACTAATATCTGGCGTTGATGTTCTTTGATTTGAGGTGGTTTTGTTATATTAAGATGATGATCATGTTGATAATTTGTAAGACCTAAGATGAAAAACAATTATATAGAATATATTACGTACATTTAAATGATGAATGACAAATATAATGTACCAGAAGATTGTCCAATAGAAACTGGTTGAGCAATTTGAACATGTTTTGTTTTCTTCCTAGGGCCAATTGTTATAAGATCTCCAGATGATATCATTTGTTTCTAAAAACACATTTCAACTTCAAAATAATGATAAATAAAAAAAAACATTACATACATTTGAGGAAATATTGTTAACAACCATTGCATTGTTATTGATAAATGCTTGATTGTTGCTGTTCATAGTTTGGGAAATGTTAATCATTTGTCCACTATTGGATACTTGACTGTTAACTACTTTTAGGCTGTTACCAGCCTTTGACTGACTTAAAATGTTACCAGAAATTGATTGACTATTTACATTACTGGCTATTGATTGGCAGGTGAAACTATTAGCAATTGACTGACTATTACTACTAATTATTGATTGGTTAGTAATATTGCTGGAAAATGATTGATTGGGAATATTACTAGAAGTAATAATTGAGCTATTACTAGCTGTAACTGTTGAAATATGGCTTGAAACAGGCATAGAAAATATTTGGGAAGAGACAATACTATTTTGATCAATTAGTGTTGGACATTCTAGGTTTAGCTCAACTGCATTATCAGTCATTTGCATAGTCTGTGCAGGTACTTTTCGATTTTTAGTAACCCGAGGTGTTTTTATTGTTTGTTTTGAATGCTCTATACTATTAATTTCTTGAGTGACACGCATATCAGACAACACAGGTGATGTGCTTGAACTTGGCATAGAATCTGAAGTTGAACTTGTAGGTAAATCTAACATTGATAAAGATTCTAACAGAACATTGGATGTTAATTTTTTACTAGGTGCACGTTTAGGTTCTAGTGTCTTTTTTTGTGCTTTATTTCTTCGCCAACATTTCATCTTCACTGCACCTTGTTGTTCTAAATGCAAACGTTCTAAAACATAATACAAACATTATAGTAGAAAAAATTAAGCATAATAATTTTGATTTTGTAACCATATCTTCTACTTTAAATATAATCGAACATATCAAAATCTTGATAAATTCTTATCAGAAATATTTTTTTTATTTTCAATTTGTAACTTTATTTTATGAAAATAATAAACACTAAAATTATATATATTAGTGCCATTATTTTAATATAATAAAAATTAAAAAAGCAAATAGAAATTGCTTTTATCATTTCATTTAATTTTTGGTTTGAAGACCAAAAGAACCAAAATGTTAATGATCTTAATTAAAAGAAAAAAATGCATACTGCATGGCTCAAATATACTAGGTTATTGCAATAGTACCCTCACTATATAATTTTATCACATAAGGAATTAAGATGGCAGGGTAAGGAAGCAACCTATATTTAAGCCATGTATCCTTACTCTGCCATTTTATTTTGTTTGATAACAATACACCCATGTGCAATAACCTTGTATATTTAAGCCATAATATATTGTGTACATACCAAATTCTTCTAATTTTCGCCCTCTATGTAAGTAAATCCATATTTTGCGTTTTGGATCATATTTAACACAAGGATCATGTTCATAATGCAATCTATCCAAAGCCCCGCTTACAGCATTATGTAATTCAGTAAGATTTGCTTCCATCAAGTATTGTGAATCTCTAAGTAAGGTACAAATGTCACTTCGAGTTCCCATTCCATTTGGTAATCTAGCTGTCGCATCCCGTACTGAAATGACATAACATTACGTATTAATTCTTATTTTTATTTTTTAATGAACACAAATAATAATAATAATAGTTTACCTAATACCAATATTGATATGAAATGCGGTCTATTTTCGATCAATAAGGAATGACCACGAGCTGCTTTGTGAATATTAGATGAATTATAAATACCACGAACAGGACCCACAACCGACTCATAACCATGCATTTGGTAAATAAAAGAACGATGTGGTTTTAAAAATCGTTGCATTTCCTTGTTTGTAATAAGAATGAAATATTAATCAAAACATTTTTGTTTTAAATTAATTATATATTTTAACTTACTTGAGCCTGAAAAATTATACGTTCTTCCATACTGGAAGGAGTCACTATCCATGTGTCTAATAATGGTAAAGGTAAAGGAATTGTTGTATCAGTTTCAGACATTTCAATTGTTGAAATAATATCTGTGGTAGATGGTATTGGTACATTGTTAATACCAACCACATCGTCTTTGATACTTTTCAATTTTGAACTAATGTTATTCAAATTATGTAACCAGCATTTGCATAAATCTCCAAGCCGAGTGTCTGAATCTCTACCAGCACCAATCCATTGATAAATATCTAAACTAGGCTTATATTCAATGTAAGGAACAAAATCTTCGGGTTGCCACTCTAAAGAAAATGGTATATTAAATAATTAATTATAAAATTTGTATAATGAAATAATAACAAATTTACCAGGGAAATGTCCTGCTAAGAAACCTATAGCTGATTGTAGTGATTTAGGCCAAGTCTTTAAAGTTAAACTGTGGTACCAATCTGGATTTTTTCTGTTGTTAAATGTTGAATTCACCCAGTCATGAACACGTTCATTTAGTGCAGTCATGTCCATACGGTAATCCCAGTTAGCACAGATTATATCCCTTATAAGTGCAAAGAAACTAGAAACTATCTTCTTTAGTTGAGGTCTAAAAATATATACATAAAAATAAATAAAAGATTTTCTATACAATTTAAACATAACACACGATATATATTAACATACGTCTTCAGATCTAAATTCTCATTACACATAGTTTTAATATCCAAAACATGAAAACCCTCTAACTCTGATAATGATCCAACATAATTAGAATCTGTTATGACTTTACTAGGAGTAGACACTGGTGATAATGATAGCTGTTTAGAACCGTAATCACTTGGAGTTAGAGAGCGTAAACAAGAATGTATTGTCCTAGGTGGAGATCTAAATAATTCATATAATGTATTAGGTATAATGTTAACTTGTGATGAAATTTTAATAATTAGTTATCAAAAAATAATACTTACTCTGTGTTTATGGTTTGCACTGTACTAGTTAACATGTCTTCTGGATGAAATTCTCTCTGAATATAGTCAGGTGGACTGAACTTAGAATCCAAAATGTTATCAGATAGTTGTGGTGAAGAGAGTCTTGGTGATGGTGGTGGTGAGGGAGGCGGTGATGGAGGTGGTGATGGTGGCGGTGACGGAAGTGGTGGTGATGGAAGTGGTGGCGAAGGAATTAATGGTGGATTATACTTTTCTTCAACATCACTCATTTGCTCTAATAACATGGCTGCTGCAGCTTGACCTTCTTCTGCTTTACGTATTTCATCAGCTGTTAAGCTGATAGGTTCCATTTTATTAGGAACATTTAATGTTAATTCTTCTTCGATTTTTAAAAAATCTGTTAGAATAGGAGTACAAGGGTCTAATTTTATAGCATTCAAATTAGTCTTAATTGATTCTTCTTCAGCCATATTAGATATAGAAATTGATGGTGAAGATGGTGAAAGGAGTATAGGTGAAACTACATTTTGTAGTATCTCTTCTTTGGTATATGAAATACTACATGGTTCTGATAGAGCTCTGTCTTCTTTCTTCGACGAAATATCATGCAATTCATCTAGCTGCATAGTAGGTTGTATATCTAATTGCACACGAGGTTCTACATCTAACTGCACTTGAGGTTGTACATCTAAATGTTCATGAGGTTGTACATCTAACTGCACTTGAGGCCGTACATCTAACTGCACTTGAGGCCGTTCATCTAACTGCACTTGAGATTGTACATCTAACTGCACTTGAGGTTGTACAGTTAAATTCACAGGAGTTTTTCCATCTAAATGGACAGGGAGTTGTACATCTAGCTTAACAGGAGTTTGTACATCTAACTGCAAAGAAGATTGTATATCTAACTGAAGAGGTGGTTGGATTGACTGGGTTTGCTGTTTGACAGGTTTTGTACGCTTCAACCGAGGTCGATCACTATTTGCTGATCTCTTTTTCTCAGTACCTGATGACACTACTGGTTTAATTTGTTCTTTAATTTGGTCAAATCTCATACGTTTATGTTCCTTAAATAATTACATATATCATTATTTTTGTTACTACATACATTTTACTAGAATAACATACCTCTTCCATTTTCTTTTTTTTTCTTTTATGAGATATTATCATTTCTTTATACATATCATCAGAAGGCTCAAATGGATTACTCGTCGGCAAAGCAACTTTAGATAAATCTATTCTATCAGGAAAAGTTGCTAAGGTAGAAGTAATAGTTTCTAGCTCAGGTGAAAGAGAACTTTGTATAATACTTAAATTACGTCGTTGTTTTTTACCCAAACGAGCAGGCGGTCCTTCTAAATGTTGAAAAAAAAATATAAAATAATTAAAAACTAATAATCAAAAAGTATAAAAGCTTTTAACCTTGATAGTTGCTATCTGAACTTTCTTCAGAGACATCCCCTATTAAATGTTTAATATCAGAAAGCTCTCGGAAATATCTTCTTTTAACTTGTTGATGCATAGTAAAACTATTACTACCTCCATTATTTGTCATGGATGTAGTAGAAGAACCATTTAAAACATCAATAACCTTTTTACGCCCGGAAAGTAATTTTTTTAACATACTAAAATTATATATACGTTGATTTTTTCTGAAATATTGATAAGAAACCATTATTATAATTAAAAATAAGTAAAAAAAAAATGTTATAATAGTTTTTACCTATACTCTCTCTTGAGTGATCGTCGTAAAAGTGATTTCATTTTGACAATATCAGGTCGAAAATGTCCATCTTTTAATTTATCATGAAAATCATCAATAGGATTAACACCAAAACGAAAACACTGTCCACCAAATAGCATTCTTAAAGTAATTTCTTTTTCCATTAAATCATTTTCAGGAAATGTAGGGAGAAAATTCTAGAGAACCAAATTATATTAATATTTTTAATTTACTATGTACGTAAGTTAAATAATATGATTATTTTGCATTTCGTAAAAAGTAAATAAAAAAGCTTGTGAATACAATTTACCTTTAAATGTTGCTTTTGTTGATCACTAAGGCATACCCAAGAATTAACAGAAAATAATTGTTTAAAAACTTCTTCATCTTCACACATTCCAGCTGGCAAACTAAGCTCAGTTTTATTAGCTAGCACTGTTTCTGTTTTCAGTGATATAGTTTCATCTTCATCAGCAGTACTAGTGCTTTCAGAATCGGAACCTGACTGACTGCTTCCACTACTACTTGTAGCTGAAGTACTAGTACTAGATGTAGACGACTCTGTTTCATCATCACTATCATCTTGTTCAATTTCAGGAGATGACAATTCTTCTTCTGAATTTGATGTGGATTCTTGGGGCCAATGTTGATAGTCATTATAACTCGACATGGTGTAGTTTTAAACCACAAATTATACTAAAACAAACATTATAATAAAATAAAATATAGATAATAGGTACCTATCCAACTATCTAAGCACAAAAAACCTGATACATTTTTATTTTTATGTCTAAATTAGGTACCTTCAATGAAAGTGAAAATGGTTAATTCAAACTTATTTTTAAAAATAATATAACGTTATAGTTTTTATAGAGTTATAGTACAATGTAAAATAATTGAATAATATAAAAATTTAAAAACCAAGTAAAATTGGTAAGTTTCCATTTATTCTAGAAATAATTTTTATATTAGGTAATAATAAAATATTATAACAGGTAATATTTCAAAGTGAAATTAAACCCAATCTGATTCTAGACATATTATTTTTTTACTATACCTACAAATAATAATAGTTTTATGTAACAAAAGTACCTATTGTTTGTAGATTTGTAAATAAAAACTACCAAATAAATACATTTTTATACATATACCTAATTAACTCATAAATTAATTTGGTAGGCTTTTACCTATTTCAAATTTATCTAAGTAAATCGAGTGGACTTGTGATTGATAAAACTGTCATCGGGCAAATGGTATTTCAAAAATATTCCAAACCACAGTATATCTAGTGCAGGCATGACACATCGTAGTGAAGTCTACGCACTAAGTAGTAAGTATAGTAGGCGTAATGTAGTAAGCAATTTATCGTGTAGGTAAAACACATACGTCTAGATGTTATGTTCACCAGGTCCGATTAGTCTGCATTTCAAGTAGGAGAACAATGAATTGAACTGTGGTGGTGACTTAAGGTGACTGGATTTTATTCGATTCTGTCGGGGGGCCACTGATGCCCAAGCAATCGCGACCGCAAAGTTACAGAACAAAGACAAGTGGCAACCGGTTCCGATCACACTTCTAGTTGACAGACGTTAGATAGAGACAGACGACGACGAACGGTCAGTAGGAACGACAGATTGGAGCCGTTGTCGTACCGTCGGCACACTTGGTGGACTCGACGTTATTATCGTTCGTGTAGTCCGGGCCGACATAATAATAATAATAATATTAGTAACTAAATAACAATCGGAATGGGTAGGTTAGGTGTAGTTATTACAATGACTTCACTTTCGAACGTCATGAGATGAGCCTGACTGCCTGAGCTATCGCTGTGTATAATTGTTTACAATTTACAATTTACAAACTATCGTCAGTCGCGACCCTGATAACGTCGCCCGCCACACAGCTTGGAAGAGCAAACCCATTTGTCTTTTACGCCATGACACATGGAAGTTCGTTGGTTCATCGCGGACTAATCTGATATAATGGATACCATGACAAAATAATATTTTGTGTCATTAAATTTTTGTCATGTATTAATATTTTGTCATGCTGGATATTATACTGGAGTACTGGAGACCAGTGGTCTAATGCCCCGTCAATCTTATTGATTTTTTGGAAAATATATTATTTAATTTATGAATTTGGCCCTCCATAAAAAAAGTATGTATACCCCTTTACTGGACTCACGAACTAGTAACTATAGGTACTACAATAATTTATAATAGATATAACTTTAATCGTGTTCGTGGTTAGAACCCACTATTTAGATATTATCCATATCGTTTTAATACCTAATGGCTAATGTACAATATCAGTATTCAGTTAGCGCATGAGCGTGCTCAAGCGTGGTTCGTGGGGTTTAACTATAGACGTATAAACTAACTAGTTTACAGGTAACAGGTCTGTGGGTTTAACTGCAAGAATGCAAGACTATATTGAGGCTGTTGAAAGCTGGTTGTTTCTTCATGCATTTAGACTAATAATTGGAAAAAAATATACTTCCATCACGAGTTCAATTTTAATTTTGAAAAAATATTTGAAATTCTTCGTATTTTGTGTAAGTGTTTTGTAGGAAATTAATATTTTTTTTAGTTATATAGGTAGGTACTAGGTACTAAAGAAAAAATGAATTTTGAAAAAAAAAAAATTAGATTAATTTGGTAGTTCGGTACTATAAACGTCTATAGTAAAATAGTCAATACTTTATTATACTAATTTAACAATAGGTACAACAAATCGAAAATACAATGCTAAATAACTTAGAAAAGAGGTAAAAGAATTCAAATATGTTATCAAAATTAAAATAGTGCTTTTGGTACTGAGTGCATTTTTGTTCCGCTTTTTGGGACTTTCGTGGCAACTGGCAAGTGTGAATGTGTGACTGTGTCATGTGTGAATGTTGATATTTAGCTGTAGTTTATCTTTAATTATATTAAGCGTTTGTTGAGACACGATATTGAGCATAAAACACCTTTTTTGTGACACGATTGAGCATAAAAAACTCTGCAATGTTGCATTTTCCATTTAAAACTATAATATACAAAAATATTTATTTAAATAATTTTAATAATTTAAAATATAACATATCAAAAAAATAACATGATTCCATAGTCAATAATATAGTCACATATTTCATAAAGCTGTTTGATAATAATAATAATAATTATAATGATAATAATAATAATAATAATAATAGTTATGAAAATAATAAAATCAAAATATGGTACGAATTGGGGAATGCACGCATCAGGCGGGCCTGGGTGGGCCAAACTGGGACCACTGATTTAGAGGGAGGGCCAGTTGCGTAATAAAATTTTCCTTACCAATCGGGTAGTTACAACTTACGGCCATTTTCCTCCAAAAAAATAAAAAATAATTCTTGACCATTTTCCTCCAATAAATAATAAATAAAATAATAAAACAGTTAATACAAATAATTTATGCATATCAGAAAAATAAAAAATATTCTTATTAGACTTAAGGGGCCGTTACAGTTACATTTGTTTTCTCTGCCTTACAAGTGCGTAACATAGCAAATTTTACGCTCAGCAAAACACGTTTATATCTCCCGTTAGTTTAAAAATTAGAGGGAACTGACCTCTTATAAAATTTAAAGGTAAGATTATTATCTAGACAATGACATAGGCTTTTTATTATATTTTAATTTTAAAGCGAGTTATGAGTATTTTAAGATGTACAAGCAGTTTACAATTTTTAAATACATATAACTAGCTTTAAAATTAAAATACACGGTGTTTCAAAAGTCTTCATCCAATTACGAACTGATATATTTCGGCAACGGTTAATCGCAGGTTAATGACCAATGTATTAATGGAAAGATTAGATAACTAAGTTTATTTTAAGTTATCTAGTTGATAAATTTGGCACCGTAATGGTTAGTGAACTAGGAATCGTTAGTTTGTTTTGCTATGGCGACTCCGCAACAGAAAGCATTTTGCGTCTTACGTTTCAATAAGTGCGAGTCGGCGATAACTGTTCAACGTGATTTTCGAAGAACTTATGGAACTGAAGCTCCTACTGCTCAAAGCATTCGACGTTGGTACCAAACTTTCCAAGAAAGTGGTTGTCTGTGTGCACAGAAACGCTCAAGTCGACCTCGTACCTCTGACGAAAACATCGAGCGAGTTTGACAAAGTTTCGTTCGAAGTCCACAGAAGTCTACACGTCGTGCAGGCTTAGAGCTAGATCTCCCACATTCGACCGTTTGGCGTGTGCTACGGCGTCGTTTGACATTGAAGGCATACCGAATACAACTGTTACAAGCCCTCCTACCGGATGACAAACAAAAAAGAATTGATTTTTGCAATTTCATATCCGAAAAACAAGAAGAAAATGAGTCATTTGTCTCACGCATTGTTTTTTCGGACGAAGCCACATTTCATCTAAGTGGAAAAGTCAACCGCCATAATGTCAGGATTTGGGCTTTAGAGCAACCACACGCAACTGTTGAGCATCAAAGAGATTCACCAAAAATCAATGTTTTCTGTGCAATTTCCAGGAAAAAAGTTTACGGTCCATTTTTTTTCGAAGAAAACACAGTAACGGGTAACACATATCTTAACATGTTGTAAACATGGTTGTTTCTACAGTTACAAGCGGATAGTGATGATTTTGTTTTTCAACAAGATGGAGCACCGCCGCACTGGAAGTTAGATATTCGCCGGTATTTGAACGGTGAACTCCCTCAGCGGTGGATTGGGCGTAAAGGAAACGACGATTTGGCGATTCATCCCTGGCCACCACGTTTCCCTGACCTCACAGTGTGTGATTTTTTTTATGGGGCTACATAAAAGATAAAGTGTATGTACCACCATTACCTACAAACTTGGAAGAGCTTAAAATCAGAATCAAAGATGCTGTTAATGCCGTGACACCAGATTTGATCAGCAACGTTTGGAAAGAATTTGATTACCGTATAGATGTGTGTCGGGCGGCCGGTGGGGGTCATATTGAACATTTGTAACCAAAGTAAATAAAACTTGACTATTTTAAGAATATATTTTACTTTATTTAACCCTTATATCTTCATTTTTAATATAAATATAATATTCTGAAATCGGATGAAGACTTTTGATACACCCGGTATAATGAAAAGCCTTTGTCATTGTCTAGATATTAATCTTACCTTTAAATTTTATAAGAGGTCAATTCGCTCTAGTTTTTAAACTAAAGGGAGATAAACGTGTTTTTCTGAGCGTAAAATTTGCTATGTTATACGCACTTATAAGACGGAGACAACAAATGTCATTAGCTGTAATATCCCCTTAATCGACAGCTGATATAGATTTAGCCGATACCAGAATGTATCAACCGAAAATGTGATCCCAGCAGGCAGGCCCGGCTCAAGGGGTAGGCGACATAGGCCCACGCCTAGGGCCAGGGACGGCGCTAGGATTTGCGGGGCTCTGGGCAAAATAAATAACAGTCTGTGTGTATTGTGTGGTCTTCTGAATAATAAAGGTAAATACAATTTTTTTTCTCTTTCATCCGTCCGAAAATTATATTACATATTATCCAAACTAATTAGGTACTTACTAAACCAATTTTATCAATTATCAACCATAATTGTATACATGATATATTAATATTATTATATTTTAATAAATATTATAAAATAATTTTATAACATGTATAAACACATAGAAAGTA